TTAATGAATTGAGTGGTGGAATGTGCACAAATTAAAGTATCATGTTTGTCCATGATGGCTAGGGATTTACTTGTAATTCCAATTTCTAATGTTGCATTTGAGGCAACTTTTAGTGCTAAAGGTAGAGTTATTGATCCCTATCGAGCTTCACTGGCACAAGATATAGTACAAATGTTGATTTGTGAAGGAGATTGGATTAGGCATCTACATGGAATCAAGAGAAAGTTGAAGGTGTATTTTAAAAGCCTAAAACAAATAATAATTTCTATTTTATTATTATAAAATATTAATCGTTAGTTATCTCTTTTTTTTACAGAAGGAGGAATCTCCTACTGAGGTTTTACTACCTATTACCACAACAAACTAATCGACGGTATAGTTGAACTTTCCTTACTAATAATCTGAATTTTTTTTTTTGCAACGGTTTGGAATTTTTTGCATTTACCCTAGAATTTATGCTTCTTTACTAAGGGTAAGGGGATAAGATCGTAGAAACTATGGATTGTGGAACTTGAAGCTTTTTGTATAAAGGTTGAGATTATTTTCTCTAAACATGTTTTCTTCTTTTTCAATAAAACTCTGAAAATGTTGAGTTGAGATGAATTTTTTGCACCTTACAGATGTCTTAATGTGGAATGAAGTTACACATAGTTGCATAAAGGAATAATTGTGTTTTTAAAAGACTTGATTTTGTGCTTTAAGTCTTATTTTGCAGTATCGAGTGACTTAGTGGTTATTAATTTGAAGTTTAAGTATTTTTTGTAATACGGAGTTATTTTACTTATTTTGTACTGTGCGCTTGGTTAAATCTATAAGTTTATTAGTAATTTTATCATGTGTACTGCGTGCTTTGTTAAATCATCACACCTTACGTTATTTAGAATCTTGCTTATAACCATAAATGTTCAAGTGAAATTTTATTAATTATAGTTATAACTATATATATATATATATATATATATATATATATATATATATATATATATAGACCTTTAAACTAACGGTTTAGTGTTTATATAAAAATTATGACAAGTTGTAAGTATTCTCCCCCCCCCCCCATCCTAAAACGCTTAAATGGGCTGTAGAACTCACATTCGTTGAGTGGTTTACCGTTGCTTTGTCGTGATCCAAAACTAGAATTCGAATCATGAGTCGAGATTTCACAAACGAGACAGTTTTTCAACGAACAAATACTTCAAGGTTGTAGATCGGAAATAAGTATTAGAAAAACTATTTGGATTCAACATGTTATACTTTTCGATTAAAAAAACAATCGAGGGTTTTAGATTAGATAAAAGATAGACGGAAAACTACTTTTCGCGACTGTCGAGACTATCTGAATCTTGCCTGAACTTCGCCAAAATATGATTTTTTTCACAAAAAGATGGTTAGAAAAGTGGTTTTACAATGGCTGATTTTTTTGGTACCTAAAGTCACTGCTAGTGGGGGAGAACAGGGTCAGATCGGTTAAATTTAAAGAATGTTGGTGTTGGTTGACGACATCAACTAGCAACCGGCTATTTCCAGCAGTTCTTGGTTGTATTTTGTTGTCATAACTATTGGGATGGGGGCTTCCATCAAAGGGGACCTGTTTGCTGGTGGTCTGATGGTGGCCTACGGTGGTGGAACGATGGAGCAAGGAGGTAGCAGTGGTGCACGGTGGTGGTCCTATCATTGGATTTTATTAAGAGAGAAAGAGAGAGAATAAAAACTGAAGATGTGAGGAGGGAGGAGGACTAGCTCTACTATTTATATGGGAGAGGGGAAAATTCATCCATCAAAAGCTTAACAAGTGTCACAACTTATGTAGTGACACATATCATCTTCTCGAGCCTCGTGCTGAATCTCTATAAAAAACAACTTTGTTTTGACTTTCCCTATGCCATTTGATGTCCCAAACGTCATGATTCTATATATTTGACAGAATTTTCGAAATGAAAGACAAAAATACATTAAAATTTTGTTTGAGGTTTGAATTTAGTTATATTTACAGTTTTCTTGTTACAACTGATTTTGTAAGATGAGTATAACTTCATGCTAAAAATATTCTAACAATAGAATTAACTAACATGACGAATTGATACAACGTTTGTTCACAAAAAACTCGTTTATATAACTAATTTTAGTTTCCTTAAAAACGGCATAACTTTCATGTATGATCTCCTCTTTGGACGTTCTTTATATGTATGGAATCGTTTTAACATGTTTTATCTATTTAAAGCTTTATTTGTTCATGGCAAAACATAATACATAAATCATATTTTTACTATATTAAATCGTTAGTTATGTATTGCAATTAGTGTTTCGTTAACGATCAATGTTCATTACTGACAAAAAAGGTATTCTTTAGAATGCAATTCTAAGTATGAAAACTTATTTTTCATGAAAAGGATGGAATAAAATACATTAGGTCTTTTACAAGGGGTCTTCACAATGTTCGGATCGGTGAACAATGAACTCATTTTCTTGTTTGTTACAACCTTGTGTTTATAAATAGTTGTTATTAATGTTAAACAATTCCTTATTGAAACTAGTATCATTGTTGCTACATCAATGCTTGTGAGAAGCTGCAAATTCCATATGCCTCCTACTTGCTTTGTTATTGGAAGCTCGTTTTCCTATAATTCAACTTTCAGGGGAATAAGATAACTTATTCTTGGTGGGTTTGTAGATAATAATCTAACCAAACTTTTAGATTATTCCACAAATATCTAATTAGTAGATTTTGAGTTCAGATGATTTAGTCCAACATGATCTTCAAATCCACAAAACATTAAGTAAGATAAGGATTAAGCCATTTCATAATAAAATATTATTAAGTGTTTTATCTGCTCATTAGTTGATGTTTGTATTCAAAGTACAAGTAATAGTGACCAGACTATAATCTAAAAAGAATAAAGGAAGATAATTTTCATCGATTAATTTCTCTGTTATTATCACTAAAAGATTTAGATGGTTCTACTGGTTAGCATCTCAACTTTATATTTTAAAAACTTCAACAAAAGGTTTCAAAATTATCCTTGAACATGTAAACTATAATTACAACGACTATAGGTATAAATAAAGTTGATTAGCTATCATGTAAAGAATCAAAATATTCATTATAAAGGAAGCCATACATCATAGTTAATAGTTTTTTAATAATTATTTTCTCTACAATTTAGTGAAAATATCATTAGAAATCTTTTTTTATATAAAAAGATTCATATATGTCAAATAAACTACATTATTTTCCTTTAAAAATTCACATCTAGAAGTTGGAATATGTGTATATAATTTATATAGTAATGATAAGAATGTGTTAGATAAGTTTGATTCAAAACTAGTTTAAATAAAAATGTTGTTTGAATATATAATTGTTATTTTTAAAACATTGATGTTTACTTTATAATTCTATTAGGAGGTCAAGTTCTCTAAAACAAAATTTTAATCATTACGAAATATGAGGGTGATCGTTATGAAAAGTCATTAATCATTTAATAAATTAATTGAGACACACACACACACACAGACACACACACACAAACATATATATATATATATATATATATATATATATATATATATATAGTGGTGTTGATTATGATGACATGTGCGGAATAAGAAAAGATCTAGTGAATCATCATACGAACTCAAGAACACATGAAGTAAATAAATCTTATTAACCTCATATTAGATCTAAAAAGAATATACAAAGTGGGTCTTGTACAAATTCTCTCTTTAGTCTAACACTCCAAATGGTTCCTTTACAAATGAGAGTCACTCGTCTCCTATTTATAGGAAAGACTCGACCCATTTACACATACAAGAGAGTAAGCCTAAAATTCTACATCCAAGCGTGCCTTTGGACCTTAACATTCTTCCCCTCAAAGTTAGGATTGGATGTCCCGACTTCAATACCCAACGAGCTCGCGCGATCAAGACCAAACTCCCCCTCGAAGTAGCACGGATCTTCAAATCACTACTAGAAAAATAGCCTTTTACGACGCGCAAATTACGACACTCATTAATATATGTTACGCAAACGAGAGTGACATTAAAAAAGTGTCATCTCTTCAGAAAATTTAAGGATTTAGGTCACGCATTATTGTGTGCCTTTAAATTAGTGTCAAAAGAAAAAAAAATTAAAAACACGGAGGGTGCTGTACCTTAAATGCGCGCCCTCTATATGTGTTGCTTTATAATTTTAATGAACACGCGTTCCTTAGTTACAAGCGGGAAAAGAAAAGCCAAAAAATTAGAAAAGCCCGCTACCCTCCCTGCCCTAAGCATTTTCACGCATCTTTCATTCTCCTCACACTGTTGTGCAACTTCTCAATCAAAGATCGAAGGTTACGATTTCATCTCCATCTCTCGAATTCATCATCTCAATCAAGAAAAAGGGCTTCTGATTTCCATTCATCTACTTCATCATTGCTGTAATTTCACCTTCTTCATCTCTCTGCTGTTATTGAGAATACTCGCCAACAGTGTGAGGAGAAAAAACGCAAACAATGAGCACCACCTCTCAAATTCATCTCCATCTTGAATTCATCATCTCTATCCCTCCCTGCCCTAAGCATCAAGCTGTTTTCTAGTAGTGAAATTAGAAAACAGTGTGAGGAGAAAAAGGGCTTCTTCATCTCCATCTCTCGAATTCATCATCTCAATCTCGAATTCATCATCTCTATCCTTTCTGCTTCTTCCCCTCTTAATCCAGCTCTTGGTTCATGGAACTAATTTGCAAAATCCCGCCTAATTTTCTTACAGGTGGTGCTCAATCCATAAAATATTCGCATCATCACGAAGCAAAAACGCAAAATCTTCTTCATTCTCTCTCCTTTATCCCTTCCATAGCCGCTTAATATTTCCTTTTTCACTGTTTCAGCATATCGATGGTCTGAAATCCAACTTCATGTCAACTGTTATCATTGCGTCTTCATCCGGTTATCAGGTAAAATATCCACATTTGAGATTTTATTCACAGTTTATTTGTTATTTAATGTCTGAGCTGTGGTTGAATGGTCTTGAACCTTGAAGCGGGTAGGGTTTTGGTCTATTGTCAAGGGTTTTCTGATATGGTACTCTCCTGTAAATATATAGTGACAATAGATATTTCTTTTGTCTAATTTTTTCATTGATATGTGGTATTGCAGGTTATATCACTGGACAACATGGTTGATAGGCTTTCTGATGTTAAGCTTCAGCCAACTAAGGTACTGACTGCTATATGTGGCCTGATTATGTTTCTCCATTTTCCAGGTCAAATTTTAGTGTAAAATTGGTGGTGTTATTTAAGGATAAGGTCGTTAAAGCCAATGAGGTTTTAGCTGCTGGTCATCAACCACGCCCTATCATGGAAACCATCATTGTAACCCTTTTGTATCTTGCCCTGCATAGTGAGAAAATTGAGTTGGAGGTATTTAAATCCTTTTAAATTTTATTGAACGTCATTTCTTGTGAAAAATATTCACCACATGTTCTTTTTTCTTATCTGACTGATTTAATTTTTAGTGAGGCACTACAAAGGCAAATTTGTGTAGAAGATGTGTAATAGTTATCAAGTTTTTGGACTGATTTTTCTTTGGTGGGGATATGTATGCTTCTGTTGACCTTTTAAATTTCATGCAAGCTGTTTTTATGATCTGTGTTATTGCTGCTATCGATTCCTCCCAGAGGTACTATTCTTGTACTTATTTGCCGACCAACCAAATCCTTTATACTTATTGCAATCACTTTACTGCAGGGAGCTGGTTGCTGCTGTGAGGATGCTACTTCCCCAAAGCTGAAATCAGGAAAAACTCCACATCCTTGACCTTCCATGCTGGTCCCACTTCCGCTTCGTGGGGCCTGCATGCCAAGCTAGCTCTGCAACACGTGTTGCTGGTGCTGCTGTATCATTGTAAAGGGTGGTTGCTGAGGGAACACTGTGTGTGATTGAGTCAACATATGGGAATTTCCTTCGACTAAACTGAGCTCAAAGAAGTCAATGTAAACATTCAACAGACTGGTCAACCACAGAAGAAGCAAAAACGTCGTGGAAGACCTCCTAAGACACAAGGTGAATCTACATCATTACATCTGACTGATGATGTGGCGCTTTTCAAGAAATTAGAACGCAGGGGAAGACCACCTAAAGTGCAGGCAGGGGAGTTGACCAATGCAAAAAAGTCAAAGCTTGTGGTGGGCAAGAAAAACAACAACCAGTTGAAGGGTAAAAATGTCAAAAAGGGTCCCAAAAGTTTCCAAAACAGAATACCAGTTGCCCTTCATCATCCTGATGAGGTACATATCCATTTCTATGAATATTCCCAATTTTGTTTTATCGAGTAAATTAAATGTTTGGTCTCTGAATATGGCTTATTTTTTCAATTTGGTCCCAAAAGTTTTCTCTTGCAGTTTTGGTCATCCTTTGAGGTTCTTATAACTTTTTTGATCCTTGTTCCAAGTAATACCTGATTGTTTTCAACTTTGGCCCCAAAAATATAGTCATTTTCTTGAAACAGATACCAAAAACTTCAAATAAGACCAAAATTGCAAAAATTAGGGGACCAAAAATATAATTAACTGTTGTTTGTTTTGTTATTAAATGCATTTCAGGGGGATTTGGGGTATATATACCTTGATTTAAATTGTAGACAGGGGAAGTATCCTGGTTGTGCTCATTTTGCCATAAGAGGAGGGCGTACAGTTTCCAAAACAGAATACCAGTTGCCAGTAAGTTGTTATTACAGTATATTTTGTTTTGTTCATCAAGGGCAAATTGCAGGAATTATTATTGTATTCCATTACCAAGAATAGAAAAAAAGTGATGAAATGTTTTTGTTGATTATTATTGTGAAGGTGATTGTCGTTGTTTGCAACTTCTCAAAGCCCCGTAATTCATCAATCGTGAGACTTAACCACTCTGATGTGGATACCCTTTTCCATGAATTTGAGCATGCTCTTCATTCCTTGCTTTCATGAATAGTAAGTGTTGCACCATTTTTTAAAGACTTGATTAAATTAATCAATCTTTGGTACTATTTTTATTGTATTATGAATTGGTTGATCAAAAACTGTATAGTGATAGATTGAAAAGCTTGTTTATCCATTTCAAAATTTCACCAAAATTGACATGAAATTCTATAACTCTCGAGATATTAATTGTGGTACATAGGGAAATTCTTGATTTTATAAAATGTGTGTTGTCTCATTAGGCACTTGTTGTGTTGGCTCATGATATGGGTCCAATCGGGAGCTTATAAGTGATGCCATTAACAGCACTTTGCAATTCAAGGTAACTATCATATCTGTTGTGTTGTGTTGGTTCATGATGTACATCATTCAACCCCAGACCGTATTTCAAGTTATTCATTAATTGGTTATATTGAACTTTGGATTCTTGGAAAAATGTATGTTACTACATGTGTATTAAATTTTAATATTTTATAACATAGATTGATGATGCTTGAAGCCTTTCTGAATACTAATGTGTTGACGATGAAAATAGGTATCATGCGGAAACAGAAACATAACAATAAGAAGTAGAAAGAAGAAGGTGTTCCTTAATAACAATGTAGTATTAGGTTATATAGTTAGGAAAACCTCTTTCCATGGAACGATTATTTGTATGACATTAAATTGATGCAATGGATTCTATTTTTTGTATATTATATTTTAATTTCTATTATGAAACATTAAATAAAAATTTAATTTGAAAATAAGTAAATCTATAAATAATATTTTTTTTTAAAACATTTAAATTTACGATACGCAAAAATGTGTGTCATCTTCATTTATGACATGGCCTTTCTTGACAGGGGCTTTCTTGATACGCATTGCGTGTCATTAACGTGCGCGTCGTAAGGTTACGACAGGCGAATGTGTGTCATCTTCCTTTATGACAGGGCCTTCCTTGATACGCAATGCGTGTCGTAACCGCGCGTCGTAAATGCGTGTCATAAATGCGTCGTAAATGCGCGTCGTCTCTCTTTATGACAGGGCCTTCCTTAACACGCATTTGCGCGTCGTCTGAGCGTTTTACGACGCGCAATGAGCGTCGTAAAAGGCCTTTTTTCTAGTAGTGAATCCACAAATGAATACCAAAAAAACCCGCTTCGAATACCCACTCTTCATTCACGCCTTTTTATAATCAAAAAATGAATATAAAACCCATTAAGGGTGAGAAGTCCCCGATGATTAATCTTCACAATACTCCCCTTGATGTGTAACAAAAATGGAACACCCAAAACACTTGCACGGAAAAACAATCACGAAAGAGCCTCGAAAAAATTTCCAATTTATGAAAAATTTCGATTTTTAGGTGAGAGTTGTAAAATTTTCCAAAATCCGGGTAAAAACTATCACTTTCTGAATTCTACAAGGACCCTTTGCACCAAAAACAGCTTACCATGCGAAACATTCCTCCATTTGCGAAACTGAGCATAAAGTGTAAATTTGCACCAACTGCAGGGACTGAACATGAAAATTCTTCAATTTCTCTTTTTTGTTACCCTATTTTCTAAATTGGATCTTTTCTGCCAAAATTTTGAAACTGCAGGGACTCTTTTCGAAAGTTCTTCATAATGCTTCAAAATGTCGAAATTATACCTCAAATATGGGTATAAACTGCAAAGTTTGACAATAGTGCAGGGGCTTGAAATAAAAATACTTTCTTTTCTCCTAAAATGTGGAAAATCAGTCCTAATGTTGAAATGGGTTAAGCTGCCATGTCTTCGAAACCTTAACGACCAATTTCGAAACATTTGTGTTTCTCCTCCGAATTCATTTCACAGGTAACGAAATCAACTACACCATTCATAACTAAGCTTCTCTTCTTAATCATTCAAACGAATATTGAAAAGCGAATCACTGTACAACATCTTGACCATTCCATCTCTTAATCGACACTTCCCTATTACAAGACTTCCCAAAATCATGGACATCAACATACAGTACTTCGTACATCGACTTATCAAACCTTCGCTTTTTCATCACTGTGTCCCAACAATCAACTACCTTCATACGCTTTCAAAATCCATGGTATCCCATTCGTTATCAACCATCTAATCTGTGATTCTCCATTCTCAAATTATTAATCATCAAACGATTGTAATACTTCTTTGCTTGTTGAGACTAACTCAAAACATCGAGTTTTCATGATCAACGAAAAAAAAACTTCGATCAATTAACAGCCTTTGCTTTTGACTATGATCAATCGACATCCAATTCGTCATTCGTTGACATCGATCACAAAAGCAAACTTCCAACCATCGATTCTCGATTCCACATCACCAATCCAAAATAGACTCGACACTCAAAGCTATCAATCATCCTTCATTATCATTCATAATCAATCGAAAAACAAACCCAACATAATAGAAATCGATTCCAACACAATCGTGACATCTTCAAACCCAACGAAGGATCATCTGAGTTTGTTATTCTCAGTGTGTTCTCAAACAATCGATTCCAAATGCAATTTGACTTTGCATCGACCATTGTTCTCAGTCCAACTCTCAAATCGATTGGCCAAAAACGAATTTACAGAACTTCATTTTCATTAACATTTCAATCAATTGCAAAACCAAACTCTACTTGTTGTTATTTGTATCTTCTTCTTCAAAATCATTCAATTCCAAATCAATACCAACAATCGACGTCTCAAATAGCAAAAGACTTCAGTCGAATGTCGACTAATTCCAAAATCAAAAATCAATTTCGAACTCCAAGTGACCATGAAAACTGATTGCGATTAGAACCGAAAAATCATTCGGCATCGTCAACTCGTCATTATGGTCATATGAGTTCGACATCCACAATTGAGTTTTCGTCATCAAGAACATAGACACCTCCAAAATCGAAATTAGACTCAAATTAGAATAGATTTCGACTCTTTCAACCTCAAAACAACTTGTAACTATCGATTTCAGCATACAATTCACCGATTCATCTCTTGAATTCCAACTTTGACTTTTTCACAGTTTGACTTTTCGAAGTCAAACACCAAATTGATGATTCAAACACCAAATTTTGGATCAAAAACTTGATAAACCATCTGTTCTTCACATCTTCTTCACGAAATTTAAAAAGTCCACGACCAATTTTATCAAAATCAAAAACTCAGTTGATGAAGTCTGTGCTATGTCTTGGAAAAAAAACCAATTTTTTTTTTTGGAAAAAAAATAAAATAAATCAATTTCTTAACATATGAAATTGAAACTCATTTTCAAATACAGATTCGTCAACGATCGATAAGAAACAATGAGAAGCCGAGATTAAGACATCAAGATCAATTGATTATGAAGATGATGAGATGAAGGTACAAGTAAAATATGCGTAAGTCGACTTAAGAAGAGAACTTGTTAAAGAATCATATTACTTTCGGATTTATCTAAGTGAATTAATACTTGGGCTGAATTGAACGAAAGATAAACAGTAGCAATACCTAAATGAGTTTGGCTAAAAACTTGGATCTGTGAATAGGATCGAAAAAAAAAAAACTATGGGCTCGAATTTTGATTCAATGAACACTGAGTTTCGAAAATAGAAATGATAGAATATGATTTTGATTTTTGAAATTTGATCTGTACAAAAATAATTGGATCAGCAATTGGGTTTGAAACGAAAGAGATCCAATGAGATAAATCGATTAAAAATTGAAAAAAGCAAAATATGAATTGAAATAATGAACGTTTTCGAATCCATTTGAAAATTTGAGATACCTTTTTGACGAATCGAGTTCCATTTTCAACGAACGAAATGAGAAAATCTCCAATTTGAACATTGTACCACCCACTATGCGTGATGTACAACTCCTTCGTGTTCTTCGTTTTTTCAACGATCCAATAACATCTTCATAAGAACCACCAACATTTTTGGGTTTTGACTTCAAATTCAATACAACATTTGGAGATTGTTGCTTTGGAACCCAAATTTGTTTCACAACAACACTTTATGATTTTTGTGAATAAACCCGCTTATTTTTTGTTTAATCTTTTTCTTCTTTTTCTTTCTCATCTTTTTGCATCTTGAAAACTTGATTTCATGAACAAACACACTTTCCACAACTTCAACTTTTTGAGTTTGAATCAAATCTTTTGGAGTTTGATACTTGTGATTTTATTGGATCATCGGCTTCCGATAAGGAATCATTCATTCAAACGAATCACAAGAACACAAAATATCATCGGATTGAACTCCAATTGAGCAAAAAAGTTTTTCATCTTCATTCGAATCAACTTGAATCTTCTTGTCATGAACTTCAATGTAACATCCCAAGATTTTGCAGGTATTCCCGAATCCTCTCTTCTATTATTATTTTGTCATTCGTAGTCCTTGGGGTTAGAAGAGTCAACCCATGAGAAGCCTAAGGGCTAAAGTTGCAACTTTGAGAACAAGACTAGTAAGCTAAACATACATAAGGTACGCTAAGCGTACTAAGTGCGCCCTAGTACGTTGGGCGTAAACTTGTGTACGCTATTCGCGTCAAATGGAAACCCTAATATTTAGGGTTTGAGTGTTATATAAACATTCTTATGAGCTCAAAACCCTCCATTATCTCAGCCTCTATAGTTTTAAGCCATTTTCCCCAAACCCTAACCTCTTTCTTGAGTGTGTGAGCAAAAAATTTGTATTTTGAGTAGTTGGAGAAGAAGGTGTTGCATTAAGAAGTTGGAGGAAGAAGACAGGCATGTAAATCTGAGGTGTCTTTATGCTCTTGAAGTTCCATGAGGTAAAAAGCTCCAAAGTTTATGCTTGTATGATGTAGATCTTGCCATGCTAGCTTTATGGAACCATTTCTTGTCCCAAAAGTCCCAAGTTGGTGCATGTTATGATTTGAAAGAGATAAACTGTCCTTTCAGACCCTAAAGAGGCTCCTAAATGATAAAAATGATGTCCTAACTTTTGAAAGTGTCCCATGCATGTAGTAAGAATGTCTTAATGCGTTAAGACCGTGTATTAGGAACTTTATGGATGTCCAA